TGTCCAAAATAGTGTCTTTTGACTCTGTCACAATAAGCATCGACAGGCGTCATGTATCATCATTACTATCATCAGCATCATCATCATGTATCTTCATCATCACTATCATATCAGTTTCATTATCATGGATTATCTTCATCATCACCACCATCATTATCATCATTTCAAAGCTTCAAGCGCAACTTTTAATTTGTATCTATGATGCACTCGTTCATTAGGACATCCCCAAAATAAATGGGCTTTTTGCTTCGCTATATTTTAGAATTCAAAAAATGAAATAGAAATAAAGGGAATTTAGATATTGATTTTTGTGAAGGAAGGAAAACCAGAGAATATGCCAGAAAAATCATCGAAGCACAGAAGAAAAACCAAAATATTATACTCTCATACATCACCGAGTCCTGGAATCGATTTATTTTCGGCCTGTCAAGTGTGATGCAACTGAAAGGAGCCGCAAGCTCCGTGGGAGACATTGTGGTTCAGTTGCCCGGGGAGGGTGGGGGGGGGGGTACTCCACCAGAATTTGGGTAGGGGTGTTCCGCTGGGATTCTGAAAGCGGTACCCTCTTTATGATAAAAAAACTCAAATTTGTGGACCCTGTTTATGACATAAGATATAATTTATTGCACTGAGTTCCTGTTTCAATTATCGTGTTTCAATTATCGTGCCATAATAACCAGTTTCGGTCAATACGAAAGTAGAAACCCTGAATATGACAGGAAACTCAGGAAGAATTTGGAACTTGAGTGAAATTGTATACCCTGTTTATGACAAGAAGCTCGAAAAACCATACCCTGTTCAGCGGATCATCCCCGTATAGTCCATATATGGGAGTACCCCCTCCCCCCTACCCCGCGGGTTCAGTTGTAAGGGAATTCCGTGGAATCGTATATACATTTTTTTGTATGGAACAATCTCTTATCATTTCGGTCATTTTTTTTCACTGTATTTAATAAAACCCTTTCACGTCCTTTCAATTTTATCGTTATTGCAGACTTTATTAATCAGCCCGCATTACTTTAATGTGTTAACCATCTTTTTCACCAATGTAACAAAACCTTCGCTTATCAGACCGAATTAAGATAAAACTGATAATGATGGTTATGGTTATGATTATCATCGGTTCATGAGAGATAAGTGCAGATCTAGGGTTTTGAGTTGGCACGTTTACCTCAGAAATAAGTATCCATTTTACATTCTCAGAAATGGTATATGTACTTTCTACTAAATCCTTTGTAGAGAGTTTCACAGGCACCGAGTGAGCCTATAGAGGCTTTGCACCATCACATGCCGGCGCCAATAATACAGCTTGGACTGCCTGTGGTTAGATGGTAGAACAATAAAATCCCTTTTTCTCTTGATAATTGAATTATTTCTTATCAGTAAAACGATTGTTTTGTACCTGCCATCGAACGTGGCTGCCGTCAGGTGATGACGCATTGCCTCTATTGAGATGCGCGTCGTGGTTTCTACGCTTCTCTCGTGTTCTCGCAGCATCCCGCGTGCTGTTTGGCCGTGCTGTTTAAAAACTCTTAACCGGGGCAAGAGTATGTAAAACGAAAAACTATTTTACCTCAAGTGCAAAAATTAACAGAAAATGCTGTTTTATCAATTTTTTCCTATAAGAGTTCAATTTCAGAGCGCGAACGCGGCAAAAAAATTAGAGTGAGCGTTTTAAATACTCTCTTGTGAAAAAATCTAAAATGTCATTTCAACCGAGCGCACGTTATAACTCGTTATTTTATGATCCTTGAATCACTACAGGAGACGATGCGTCAATATAATAACAACCTCAGGCACGTTTCATTACAAAGTCTATCATAAGGGGCGGCGGAAGATGAAAATCTTGGGGTGGGGGGCACTGCAAAAACTCTGGGGGGCACTGCAAAAAATCACAACAATAACTTAATAATGGCAATAAATCGAATCTATGCATTTATATTTCATTTGAACCAATATTTTGTTGGGGTGCCAGGCCCCCCCAAAAAAATAAGTGGGGGACCCCCCGGTTCCGCCGCCCCTGATATCATAAAAAAAATTTATATTGGCATTTGAACCAAACAGAGCGCGCGTTATAACTCTAATTTATAACAATTACCTCAGGCATTTTTCATTACAAGTCTATGATAATTAAATGCTTCTGCGCTCCATAACCCTAAACTTAGTAATTTCAGAATTTCAATTATTTTATCTACATTCAGTTTATTGCGGTATTAGGTACAATTTCATCGGTAACTTTGATACTTTGTCGTCTTTTTTCTTTCTCCCTAAACTTAGTAATTTAAAAATGTCAATATTTTGTCTATTTTCAATATTTATATTTGTTGTCAATTTACTGCGGTTTTAGGTACAATTTTATTGATAACTTTTTCGTGTTTCTTCCGACAGCTGGCAACAACACTACACAAGCAGGTTAACAATATGAGGTTGCATTGTTTATCGATGTGGAAGATTAACAAGATAATCCATATTGAACGGACGGAAAAAGCACCTCACGTACTTCAAGAAGAAAGTTCTAGAATTGCGTGAGTCCAAATGAGTTAAGCTTTGGTTTGGTTTAAATTGTGATAAGAGGTATCAGGTGCAAAGTGGATAGATGAAGGTAAGGGTGGCTTTAGATAGCTAGATAACATTACGTGTGTGCATCGTATATTTGGCGTACACCTCCCCCCTCTCCCCCCAATTCCGGTCCCACCCCAAATGTCTATTTTAAATTATGATTTTTTTAGAGAGGATAAAGAAAACAATATTTTCCCTCTTACGTGATGTTTTTAAAACAAACCTCTTATGTTAGAGTTCTTTGTTTGAGTCATCCATAATTCTGTACTGCCTACGACGTCATGTTAGGAAAACTCAACAAAAGTTATTTTGGTTTCTTTTGAGTAATATCGGTTTTCATTTGGCCAACGTAGTGGTCTTTGTTTTTTGTTTCATTCTTGGGAATAATACACATAATACGCCAGGGTCGGATCCAGGAGTGGTAAAAGGGGTGACTAGGGAGGGAGGTGACTTGGGGGGGGGGTAAAAAGGGTGACTAGGGAGGGGGGTGACTAGGGGACAAGGGGTGAATAGAGAGGGGGGTAACTGGGGGATGGTAAAAGGGGTGATTAGGGGGGGTAAAGGGGTGACTAGTCAACTCCTTTCGCTCAAATTTCTCAGTATATCGTTAGTAACAGTCACCCTCCTTTTCCTCAAATTCCTGGTAAAACCTTTGTAATGGTCACCCCCTTCCTAAAATTCCGCCCCTGTACATTTTAAGAGTAAAACATCTCTCAAGCGGAAAACAAATAAAATATACAAGGGAATGACACGAGAAGATGCTTTTAAACGAGCTCGGTATAGAAGGGTATTCAGAGTTGTGTTTGAATAAAAAGTGATTATCGATACACATTTTTTTAAAGAATTCTTAAATCCATGCCCATTGTTATGGTCGGTATTCAAGGTTGTGTCGGATTGGAAAGGGTTTCAATACCAATGTATCTTTCAATAACTCTTCGTTTTGATCGGTCTTCAAGGTGGTGTTTGGTTTATAAGGGTTTTACTAAACGTTTTGAGGACCGTTTTTGTCGTTCTTTTTTAATTTTAAATTATTTTTAAAAGACCGAATTTGATGAGTACCAGAAAATTCAGTTGCTTTATTAGAGTATCGATACCTTCCTTTTCATGTAGTTAGTTTTTATATGATCTCGTTAAGTGGCACTTAAGCTCCATTCGTACTCTCCTCAATGCAACACACGTAGGAAGATTTCTGGTCTCCGCTGATTGGCTGATCGAGTACCTCGTGACCTTGACCTCACCGATTTTTTGGTCTCAATAGTTTCTAAATATAATTTAACCTTCAAGGAGTTCTTATAACGCCGAACATGGAAAGTTTATTTTTCTAAAGTGCTTCTTAAAATAAAGAAAAAGATCCAATGACTTCGTTTTGCTTTGCTCTTCCTCTATTCTTTTCTTCCTTCGGTATCTTTAGGGTTAGTCATTGGGAGTTTTTAGTAGTTGTTGGTTTCGGTTTCGCTTAAAATTGTTCTCAATCAAATTTTAAAATAAATGCGAAAGGGGGGAAAAGGATAAAAGGAAAAATAGGAAAAGTGGAAAGGAAGAAGAGTGAATGAATGAATTTAGGAAAGGAAAGGAAAGGAAAGGAAAGGAAAGGAAAAGGAAAAATAGGAAAAGTGGAAAGGAAGAAGAATGAATGAATGAATAAAGGAAAGGTAAGGTAAGGAACAGCAACACGAGAAAGAAAATTGTCAACAACAAAAAAGAGTTCAAAGGAATATAGAAAGAAAACAAATGGAGTGAATATAAAAGGATGCGGAAAAATTCTCTGTCAGCTAGCATTATCATCTATTCAGTACAGGTCATAAGAAGGAACGAATGAGCGAGTCTTGAATTGAGCGAGTCTATTGTTTTAATTAAGACATTATGAGATGCCGAGAAGCAACTATTGGAAAATATATGAACTGCACAGCTGTGAGGATAGCCTTTTTATATAACTTTACACTTTTCAATTTGAAGCATATCTAAAAAGCAAATGAATTTGCTGGTAGTTGGAACAACATGTGAAACACCAAGACTCTTAATTATTTGAAAACATAACCCCGCCACTCTTTGATTTATAAATTTTCTACGTTTGTCCCCTCGGCATCCCATAATTCAAGATTGCCGCCGTATCAGTAAGAAGGTGAAAGAAAGAATGAAAGAAAGAAAGAAAGAAGGAACAATATTTCATCTAGACTTTCTTGAATTCGCTTGAGTGAACAAGAAACGATAGTTTGAAGTCGACGTGTTTTCATAAATGTGCTGTGTTATCAAGTCAAAACGGTCGTCATCTTATACATCTAATAAGGTTTCACGCATGCGCAGTCAATACGATTCGTGTAAACGTGGCGACTCGAATCCTATGCGGAGAAAATCGAGTCAATTTTAAGAGAAGTGAAGATGTAAACAGAATGAAACGGAAAGAACATCTTGTCAAATTTGTCATGACTTTATTTGTATTTTACTTTAAGACGTTCAGTGCAAACAAATTTTTCATTGCCTGTCGTCTCCGTTTCCTTAGCAACTAAAAGCAAACCGTTTTCGAGTGGACCAAGGTCTTGTGGCTAGCTAAACCCCTAGCTCGAACTGGATTATCTATGTTCTAGTTAATATTATACGTGGTGAAAACCTCGTAATTCATACTTAAGAATAGTTAAGAATAGTTCTAGCATTCCTTTCGTGATTTTGTTTCAAGTCTACATTGAACTCCATCGCCTCTTCGTATCTTTCGTAGGATTAACGGCTGTTCTTCCTATCACACAGTCAATATTAGCATTAAATTCTGAACTTTCTCCAAAAAAGTTTACCTACATTCTAATCTTTTCATCAGTCTACTCGGCTATTTAGAGTTTCAATTATGACTCATAGAATCTTTTCCAAGTAACTCATTATTAATATGATCAATTTGGTTAAGCGATGCAAATTTCGACGTCTCCGTTCTGACATTCACACCAAAAATTACCTATAATCTAATTTCATTGGATGTCGGAGACTGCTGAGTAAAATGACAGCTGATAACACGCTCTCCGGCTGCAATAAGACAATTCAATTGGTTTCTAAAAATCTTCTATTTAATTTAATGTTTTCAAACTCTTTCGTATTAAGACAACACGAATGGAATTGTAAATTTGTCCATACCAAGAGCTATGGTGAATAATATGGAAGAAGTTATGGCTTCCTTCTTCACCAGTTTCCTCATTTTTTTCTTTCTTTTTTTTTTTTTTTTTTTTGTCGTATGCTCGTGTTGTTGACTTTCGACTCTTCAAGGCAAAGAGCTGAATGAGAAAGTAATTAACCTTGTAAATGAAACTAACTCGTGGAAAAAGAGCTATTTTTATTTCGGCTGTTGAAGCCGCAGTGGAAAAATCAAGATGAAAGTTTTCGTCACATGAGTCTGTTTCAGTTTTGATTGAAAATCGGATTTATTTAGCTTAGTTATTCTTCCTTTCAATAAACTACAAGAGTGTATTTTCGTAATATATTAAAATGTATTTTATACTTTCTCTGCGAAAAGATGCGAGCAGCTTTCCTTTTTCTAGGTGTTTGGAGCGTTTTCTTTCGGTTCTCTAGATTCACATTGCCCTGCTTGAGTTGGTGATAATTTCCGAGAACCCGATATACTCATTTTTCCATTTCCTCGTCCTCGTCCTTTTTCGCAGCGACAAAGCTTCCTAAATGCTTTCTTAAAAGGCGAATACCTGAGACTGTACACCAAAGGATTGCTAAAAGAATTAGCAAACGCCAGCCAAGTTGTAATAAATGTAGCAAGGTTGTGAATAGCTTCAGGACCTGCCACTCTGCGATAAGTTCCTGTTACAAAAAACGGCGTATAACAGAATAGAAATACTCCTATGACCAATGCGAATGTTTTCGCAGACTTTATTTCTCGTTTGACGGACATAACTGGTTGTGTTCGTCGCTGTGTGCTTTCTGTTTCTTCTCCTCTTGTTCGTAGGCTTCTTTCCACGGTGCTGAGTCGTTTGACATGAGTAAGAGCAATGCGAAACACAAAGGCATGCGTGTAGAGCATTATCCCAAATGGGACAACGACAAACAAAAAAACCACAACAAAGATATAAGGTTTAAACTTGAATGACTCTGAAACTCTATAGGCAGTCCCACAACCGTACACCTCAGAACGAAAGTGATAATCGGCTACAGGAAGGTTGAGAAAAATCGTAGGGAAGGTCCAAATAAAGACAAGACACATGTAGACTCTTCTCTTAGTAACAGTCAAAGGGTAGCGTAGAGGAGTCTTGATGGCAAGATAACGATCTATACTTAAAACACAGAGGTGAAGGATAGAGACGAGTGCCAGAACAAGGCCCAAAGTGGCTACAATGTCACACCAAAGTTCTCCAAATATCCAATAATCTGATAAATCTGTAATAGCATGTAGCGACATCACTAGAACCATAGCTAGATCCGTGCTTGCTAGGCTCACTAAGATGATGTTTGTTGGAGTTCGAAGCATTTGAAACTTTGCTATGGCTGCATAGATCAAAGTGTTCCCCACTATAGTCGCGGTAATAGTGATCAGAATCACACAGTATTTAAATGACACAACTCCGATCCCATCCTTGCTTGTCGATGATCCCTCGCTTGTAAAATTGTTGCTTTGATTCGAAGTGGATGAGGTATTAAAAAATCTCATGTTGTACTGAAGGATGTACTGAATCAGTGAGTGGACGAACTTGGCTCTGTTGGGAACCTTCACTGTCTTCTCTTTCGGATTCTTCTTTATATAGCTTAACTCGGTGGAGTACAACAGTGATCCTTAGCACCTGCGAAATGTCATCTCGTATGCTTCAGATCTTCACTTTCGCTCTTCCAATTAAACTGTGCTCAACAACAAGTTAGTATGCCAACCCCGGCAGGCCTATATATCTATCGGTGCCCAGACGCCGCCAAATTTAGACTAATTTAAATTGCAAGAAGCATCGGACGTAGATTAGATTAGTATAATGAATTATTTACTAAGTCATTTGGCCTTGCCATCAATTGGCTTAATTCTTTCATTTCATGACCAAGATTATTTAATCATAGTCTTTGGATTTCAGTCTTTATTCGTCAATATGCACAGTGATCTGAACCGACATTCGCTAATAGCCTTCACAAACAACACTAAGCCGAACAAGTTTTTTCAAAAATGCAAAAGCCAGTCCTACAAATTTTACGCCATCTGTATATATTTAAAGAAAACAGCGAAATCTCGTCCTTTTTCAAGCCAAACAGCATCCCAATTCTAGTTCTCTTCAGGAAGTTTTGGCTAAATTTTTTCTAATTTTCCGGAAAATCAAAAGTGTATTTTGTCTACCGGCTTCAACTTTACGGAATAAATAAATCATTTTCATATTTCTTTAAATTGTTTCATTTTTGACAAATTACCGTTCAAAATATCGAGAAACTGGCGGCTTTTGCTGCCTTGAGTTCTGCACTCTTCAGCAATTGTAGTTGTTTAGCATTTCGTATGCTCTGTTACTTTGTTTATCATAAATAAAATTAAAGAACGCATACAAAAACATAAGATTACCATTTCAGTTATCGGGTCTTTTTACCAGTATTAATATTAATACATTATATTTTAGTAAATACCTAAAATTTTAAAACAAAAAAATGTATATGTAATCAAGAGAATATCATGTAAGTTAGAATTTTTTCTAGAATCTCTCACACTTCATTGTCATATTGTCACTTTTTTGTCATATTTCTTTACAGTTTATCGAATTAACTCTTCGTTTTTTCTGTGTAAACGATTTTACACATTCCGACTTTTTTATGTGAAACACTAATAAAAAGGTATGCGGCATTATGAAATAGCCTTCTGCACAAGCATATTGAAATATTTTTGACAAAAATAGACATTTTTTCAGCACAGTTACGAGTTCATCTCGATTAAATCTTGATCCAAAAATACTCTTTTTTCCTTACTTTTTTCCCTTTAATTTTCATGTAGTATTTATTCTTTTATTCTCTTGGCACTCGTCAATTCAAAATCAAATATTGAATGATCAAGTTTATTCAAACGACAGAATTGACAAAAATAATTTYTTTAAAATCCTTGCAGCTGATTCTTTCAGTTATAACCTTAATTTTATATTTATTCTTTCCCTATTCTTTCAGTAATCTTGTAAAAAAGCTTGACTTTTCGAGAGCCTTTTGTTTTCTTCAAAAACAGCAACGAATGAATCTGACAAACATAATATAATATGCATTTTATTTGTGTTCTGTTTACATCACTTTGAAGTTCCTCTATTAATTATCAAGTTGGTCTTGAAATATTCAAGGGCACCCTCTCAATGACAACAACCGCCAGCACAAGTAGTGAAAATAACCCTCTTTCGGGTTTCTTTAGGTTTTATAGTCGCAACCCAATTCAAACTACTCACCGCTTGCGGATCTAGTTTTAACTTCCCACATCACATCTTAGTAGAGTTTGTTAGCTCTCTCTCTCTCTCTCTCTCTGACTCTCTCCTCTCTCTCAGATTTTGTTATTTACATAGACTACACCACAATAATGGAAATCTTAATATATTATTATTTTATATACTATCTTGTTATTATTTATAATGATGTACATAGCTAGATTTTAATACACGACTTTTACGTAAACCAGTTATCACAACTCATGAAATTTCGTGACTAAATAAAGCTCATTCATCCATTCATTCGTTCGTTCGTTCGTTCGTTCGTTCGTTCGTTCGTTCGTTCGTTCGTTCGTTCGTTCATTCATTCATTCAGTCGCTTCGCTTATAATTAAGTTATTTCTCACCTATTGTTGCTTTCGATCCTTTTGTTTTCCTTTGTTTTATGGCTTGCTTTTTTTCTTATTGGTTTGTTTTCTCTCTCCTCTACTATATAAACATCTCTCTCACTCTTACTTTCTATTGACTCCGACGAAAGACTAACGTCCGAAACGTCAGTTCCTATTTGTGCAAAACTTATCAATCTACGATAACATTCATTCATTCATTCATTCATTTGCGGTCGTTTCAGGGTTCGGTCTGTGAGTTAGCCGTGTCCTGACTTTGATCAACCCCAGAGGTTGTTTCAGGGTATCGATCTGTCAGGTGTCTGTGAGTTAGCCATGCCCTAATTTTAATAAGCCAAGAGGTTGTTTCGAGGTTAGCCGTGCCCTGACTTATATTATGATTATGTCAGTAATTCAAAAAATGATATCTTATATAAAATCGAATATGAAGTTGACTGCGCTCATACCACAAACACGCAACGATTTTTCTAGAAATGTGTGAATACGTGGTACCATAGTACTTTGCGGTCAGTAAGCGCACGCTGGCTGGTCAAAATTATTGAGGAGAAAAAATCCTTGTTTCAAATGCTTTTTCCTAGCTCAAAATCAGAAGTTAATATATTCAGCCTCATCTACTTAAGACGTTGACCAGAATAAAGTAATTAATATCAGAAAAATCCCCGTTTCATTATTTGAATTGTACCCTTGGATTTTCCATTGTTCGATATTCAACAATTTGAATGTAGTTGTACATGTTTGTGATATGTTGTCTGCTCACTTCCGTCAGTGAATGAGGAAAACACAGCAGCCGTTAAATTTCCATGCTTTAAAGTGTATATCAAGGAAAAATAATTGTTTTTCAAAATCACTTATATGTGAATAGTGTAGTAGCATGGTTGCAGTATTTTTGTATGTGGTCTTCTATTTTCAGAGACATAAACATTTGAAATACAATATGCAAATGCGATGACGTAAATTCAAGAATGGGTTACATTTTACAGTGTAATTTACGACAAGTGTTCTGAAGTGAAATAACCCAAAAGTGTACAAAGCCATATATTTCAGTCATAAGGATAATTTGCAAATGAAAAAAACACACAGTACTTTCCATAACAGCATTTTTGTATAATAAATTAGTCTTGAATTTACGTCA